TTCAGTGGGTCGGTCCGCGACAACATTTTGTACGGCAACCCGGAAGCTTCGGAGGAGGACATTATTGAAGCGTGCCGCGAGGCGAACGCCTGGGGCTTCGTCCAGGACATGCCTGAAGGACTCAACACAGAGGTCGGCCGTGGCGGCTCAAGGCTTTCTGGTGGACAGAAGCAGCGAATAGCCATCGCCAGGGCTCTCGTCAAGAAGCCGGAGCTGCTTATTTTGGACGAGGCGACCTCTGCTCTGGATGCCGCCAGCGAAAAAGTGGTTCAGGAAGCTCTCAACAAGCTGCTTGCCACAAAGAAGTTCAACGCCCTCGTCATCGCCCACAGATTAAGCACCATCCGCGACTGTGACTACATCGTGGTGTTCGTGAACCACAACACTCGTGGCTCTCAAATAGCAGAAGTCGGCAACCATCAACAACTAATGGCAATCAAGGACGGAGTATACAGCAAGCTGGTTCGAATCGCGGAAGGCGCAAGCCATTAAATGGAGACCACTAAATGTAGGTTACTGAATGAATAAGGGTGTTGCTGGACGTCGACCAATTACGTCGTTGGCGGGAGCCTGTCACTGACGCGGGCCAGTCACATCAGACCAGGTGATTGTTTATTTAACCAGGGAAAAACACCGATGTATCAGCGATGTTTGAATGATCGGTTCAGAGTATAGGGATTCGCTGGGTGGACGCGGGCGGTGGTGCTGCCAGCCAGTTGCCTGGTGGGGGTCGGCGCCTGCGTCGTCGTCGGTTGTCTGTAGCGGGTGCACTCAAAACTGGGGGAAACTTGGGGTCCGAAAAAGAGCTGGTGCTATGTGGCGAGTCCAGGACCGAGTCCACGTGGGCACTGGAGTCTATGTTGGCAGTGGTCTGTAAGGGCGGCGTGTGCAGTACGGTTTGACAAGACGAGGCCGAAGAGGAGGATGACAGCCCCTCTCGCGGGCGGTCGCTCTGCACCATTTGGGACATCTTCTTTTTATCTGTTTGGTGTGGATACTCTCGGTCCCGTTCCCTCTCTCGGTCCCGTTCCCTCTCTCGGTCCCGTTCCCTCTCTCGGTCCCGTTCCCTCTCTCGGTCCCGGTTTCGGTTCTGATTTTGATCTCGGTCTCGTGGAGGCTTGTACGAAGAGAGGATTTGTTTCATCAGCCGACGTTCGACCTCGTCGACGAGCTCTTCTAAGGACCTCCGCTCACGGCCGTCGCTAACCATGTGGTGTACCATGCATGGTGCCGAAGTGGAGGGGGCAAGCGCGGACGTGTGTGACACTAGGGGGTCGGTGTTGGGCAAGATTGCCGTGTGACGGTTGCCTAGTGGGGCCGTGACGCTGTGGCATACGCTGCAAATAGGACCGGGGGTAGCGGACTGGGCGAGTTCCAGCATGCTGTCGCGCGGAGAGAGTCTCAAAACGTAATTCCGGCGGTCATGCTCCCTCAGCGTCTTGATTTGTTTCTTCTGGGTCCAAATGACGCAGCACTCCAGTAGCCCGCAGACAAGCAGGAGAATCGACAAGACTGCTAGTACAATCTGTGGCAAGCGCGCCGACACAGGCGGTGACCCCAGGTAGTCCGGTCCCCCCAGGTAGTCAGCGTCCGACAGCACCGGACTGATCATGGAGTGATGGTGGAGTGTGGGTACCGTCTCGGCGAACGCCGAGTAAAAAGCTGCGGGGCCGCCCCGCTGAATTCCCTCCACCGGGGACGGCAACAGACGGGCACGAGATGCACTGACCGGTACAGCCTCGCCCAAGGGCGAATTCCGCCTTGGATATATGTCCAGAAAGTCGCCCCAGTTTTTAGACCGCCGGCCGGCCTCCAGTTCTTCATCAGAAGCCGACGAAACGACAGGTTGGATCTTTCCCATGTCAGGTTTCGACTCTTGCTGCGATTCAGGTTTCGTTTCAACACCGTCGTATCGCGCGGTCGTCGCCGATGGTAGGCTGATGGGAAGAGTGGAAGAACCTGGTTCCAATGGCGCGAAAGAAGCCAGCGGAGTTGCGAAAGACGGCGGACTTGAGGAAGGCAGCGGACCTGAAGAAGGCGGCAAAGAACTTGGTGAACTCCTCACCACCAAGTCCTGCTGTTCAAGCGAGGCCGAGTGGACTGCATTGATTTTCGCAGAATCACTAGCCTTTCCGCCTCGTAGTCTCAGCTGCGGATTCAGTATTTCCCACAAGGTGACGTTCAGCGAGGCAAGATCAGCCGCACTCATTACCTCCCGCCGATTTTCTGGCGAGTTGGGACACGAAATTTGGACGCGCTTCTCTAATCCGTAGGTTTCTTCACTCGTCTAGATTTTGACCGTGATCTTTTCTTAGATGGCTCCAAGCTTGTGAGCTCCTCGGATTTGGTATCTGGCGCGTCCGCTCTCCGTCTTTTTTTAACCTTCCGTGCTCCGACGGTTTCAACAACTTTACCAACATTCATAGCCGACTTTTCCCAGTCCGGCACGTCAGATTTGGCAGCTTCAAGGTATTCATGACGCTCCTTACTCCGGTTGGAAGGCTCACATATACGGAAGATATTGTGTTCCATCAGGATTACAGGGGCGCCCCTCTTACGTCTACGAAAAAGATGGGAATGCAACAAAAGTTCTTACAGAAGTCGCGGGACCAGTAAAGGATCGTGAGCGCAATACCAGAACTTTCTCCGATTTGATTTCACAGTGTATGACATGATGCACTTATGACTGAATAATCTCAGTTCTTCCGACTTGTATTTGTGACCCGTCCCAATATCGTTCGAACGTGAGACCGTCGATGAATTAGGCGATTGACAAGATGAAGAACTAACATCTTCATGTACTGCGTTATGCTGTACGACATCCACCGTAGCACCAGAACGTCTCTGTTTATATATGATTTCCTGGGAATGATCGCATCGAATCACTCGGCAAGGCTTTGGCAGCCAATCCAAAACGCTCCTACCATGACACGCTCGCTGGACCTTATCATTACGCTTTTCTAACATCGATTTACAACAAGATGTAATGTCTAAGGCAATGATACAGTCGACCCAACGAGTTAGTACCAATCAATCACATACATAGGCCACATACATAGGCCACATACATAGGCCACATACATAGGCCACATACATAGGCCACATACATAGGCCAGACAAACAAATAGGCTTACTGAATTCTACTTTGGCTTCCAGATTTGTCTCCACAAACTGTCGAATTGGTATGTTAACTTGGGCAGCATGCTCAACAAAGTGAGGGTCCACTAAAAAGAACTCACATTTCTGGTCTGAGAGACGGTCGCCAAAGTAAACTCCCATGCATTGCTGTCTGCTTACATAGCATCCTATAAGGTTCTTCTATTTTGAAAGCATACTTGTAGAAGTTCTTGACTTTACTGCACTGTTTCAGGCGGTCTACCCGTAGCATTTTTATTTAACAGCCCCCCCGGAAAGATTCACTCTCGTTGCCGCAACCATTCCCTTTTGCGACTTACCCGTGCTAGCTTGACAGACGTCCAACTTGCTTGCTGCATGATGACGTGGAACCCGCGGCAGTTCTGGGCAACGTTAACATCACACACATGGGTAACATCATGTCGCTTACCCGCTCACCGTTCTCAAGTTGTACGAACTTGCCGATTTGGAAACGATGGAAAGAGTGCGGCTTTGGATGCTTGCGGAAACAAGCCGAAGTCCCGCCCCGCAAGTAGGTCTTGGACGACCACTTTAAACCCGGCAATGACATGACATGACATGACACAGTGGGATATTTCCACCACCACCGGCGGGACTCGACGTTATTGTTTCAAGGCAGACACTCTGGCATACAAGGCAGACACTCTGGCCTAGAGGTCGTGCATAATGCACAGATCGGTGCGGACAGTAGATACCTCCGGTGGTCATCAATCCGTGTCATGGCAAGAAGCCCGAACGGTCATGGCCGTACTAACCGCGTACTCTCTCTACAGTGGGAGAAGTTAAAACACCTGGCATTGTGGTGCATGCTAATGCAGGGACTCCTTGTCGGGGGGCACTTTAACAACGGGGAGCACTACAGGACTCCTGACTACAGGACTTCTGCGCCGACGTTAAAGCAGGGTCACGGGCAGTTTCGATGAATGAGGAACAAAAGTTGGTGGCAGAAGCTTTGAAGTCGCTCGCTGTTATGCGGTCAAATAACCAAGATCAATCCCCACCGTTTTTTAGTAGACGCTTTGCGAATCGTCGATACCCGTCATTACAGTTTGCTGGTGATCTAACGACGGATCGAGAGCGACTTGAGGCTCCCGTGGCTCAGACAGAGGTTTGCCTACACCCAGCGGAACCGTTTACAATAGTACGGTTCCATTTGGGATATCACTGATGCGTTCAGCTCATTGTCCTTGAGCTCATTCACCTCACTGGGGCGCACTTCACTTCAAGGAACAGTGAAAGACAGCGTGCGGTTGTTGCTGGAAATGGAGTGGGCCCCTTGGCACCAGAAGGACAGTTTCGAAGGTAGCCAAATATGGCGCGCTTTCTACTGCGATCGAAGGGCGATCGATCGAATTTGAATGAACATCAGACTTGCAGAGACCAATCCTATCCCGCAGGGAAAAACATCAACCCTATTAAAGAGGACGATAGGTTCGAGAATACTCCGCACTATCCGGAAGATAACTGGGAGAACAACGATACCCCACACGAGACTGAAGACTGTAACCTTTCTTGATATTGGGTGGAAGAGGTTATCTAATGTACCTTTGGCGCTCCGTAAACCAAGTCCGAAACCTAACCTAAGACCTAGTATATGAATGGAACCGAACAGTCTAACCAGTTGAACAAATCCTGTGAAGACGAACCAGTGCACCACTTGATCTTTATTTGAACTTGAGCCACTGGTGAGCCATAAGCTACTGGCACCAAGAAGCCACGCGGCGAAAACAATGGATTGCAGTAGGCCGTAGTCCGTCCCGGTCTTATCCACAACGTGTAAAATGCCATCTGTCAAGCCCGATACACTTAAGGGCAGAAGGAGCAAGGAATGGTAAGCCAGTGCCTCCGATTCCAGATATTTGAATGCAGTACCTCGGATAACGCGCAAGGCTGGAACAGCGAAATAAAATCCAAATAAGGTACTCAGCGCACCCAATGAAACTTGCAGCTTCGTTGCTTCCTTGAAAGAATGTAAATTTATCGTCTCATACTTGTCGAATAGGCAATAGTGCGCTCTAATGCCCGCTTCTGTTGGGGCAAAAAATACTCGCACCACAATACTTCCGAGAGTCTGAGCAGATCCAATTGCACCTACAGTACGCCCGCTTAACCTCATCATGGCCAGTTTGTCACCCTCAACGGTAATGAATTTCTGAAGTGAATTCCGACCTTCGCACAGAATAGCTTTCTTGGCTTGTCTCAAACTCTTCCCCTTAAATTTCAGTATCCCATTCAGCTCCAATAAGAAAGGGTGATGTACCTGTTCTTGTCGCTCTTCGTCTAGCCTGCGCTCTTTTGCCAAATAGTATCTTCCTACCTTGTAGTGCTGCCAGATTGACGATAACAATCTGCACACTGCCCCCGCCAAAATGTAGTTTCTGTCGATCGAAGAAGGACATACAATACGCGATGCCGTGACCGTGAATAATGTAAGAAGATTTGTCGCCGCTTGACTCTGCGATTCCAATCGTGCAATAAACTCTATACCCCCCGACGTCGCGCAAACAGTCACATGGCCCGACTCTGTCAGGCTGTCAATCACTGCTGCTGCACTGTATAACGCTAATGAGGATACGTAACTCCTGACGAATGATGCTGCTACCCTAGGGATCCACATACTGCCAACGCACCAAATAACAGCAGCGAGCCCGCATGTCAGGTATACTGCCAGGAGGCTTAGGGCAGTAAATGTCTCCGGAGCATTAATGTTCTTTTGCAGCAATGTTCTTCCGAACTCGGCTCGTATCCAGCTCAGAGAATTGGAAATGAATGATATCGTGACATTCTGTAGCCCATATGCCTCCAATGAAACGGCATTGACGAGAATGACATTCGAGACCAATCCTGTAACTTTGATACCGAATGAATAGACCCACAATTCAATTACATTCATCCCAAAAAGTGCGCGCGTGTGTGCACGCGCGCGCGGTCAAAATGACCGTTCCTATTTTCCGGGTTGGATATACCAAACGGGGCCGAGACCTACACCGCAGTGGCCCTGTAAGGTTCCTCCCCCGTTTCTCGTAAGCAAAAGAGGCCCAGATTTTCTGAACTTTGAGCAGAGTTGAGAGGAGGCTGGGATATTTGGAATCATGTCTTGGTACTGTTACAGACATCGTCTGCACGAACAAGATAGTTGCGGTAGTCACAGACCTTGGTATGGCCGATTTTTGGGATCGAATAACCGGTTGCCATCTTGGCAGCCTTGCGGATCACAACACGGAAGTTGTGCGGTCAGCAAGTTACAACAGGACGAACGACACCGTTTTTGTGCTCTGGCATCCTCGTCACTGCGACAAAGGATTACGAATCAGAATCTTCAATGCCAGCGATTTAGCTCGAGGAGTTTTGCAGCCATGCGCGAATGTCGGAAAGGAGCTTCAATCTCTGGTTATTAAGTATCCTGGTTTTGTGGAATTCGAAGAAGCTAATCTTAGGATAGTGACATCTACCACGGATGACTTTAAGTATAAATTCTGGGATATGTTAAGTTACAATGAATTGTTCAGCGAATCTAACGCTGCATACCAAGAAATCCGCTTGTCAAAAGGAAGGGTGTCTTTTTTCGGCCTCCCAACGAGCTCGGAGCTACCTGTTAGGTTATGTGACATTACAGACGGGCGACTCATAGCTGAGAGGAAAGTGCCTTTATTACCCGACCGGCCTTTAGAATCATTAGAACTGTGTGCGGATAATCTGTTAGTGAAGCAGCAGGGGACCCCTCTTCAGACTTTCAATCTACTATCTGGAGAACACACAGTCACAGAAGGTAGCGAGACATTTGATCCTTTATCTATGTCGTTTCTGCGGATGAAACGCCAAATTCGAAGCTTGATGAACTCAGCGAGCAACAAGGCCACTCCCATGGTGTGCGCTGAACAAGACAAGCTGGACCTTTATTTTTGCACGGGATGTGAGACACGGAAATTTTATTCAATCACTCTACCCCGTGAAGTTCAAGGTATGTCATCCACTCTTAGATCACTCACGCTTTGTTTTAGGCTCACGGTTACATATATCTTCAACGGAGGCGTTGGCATTTATGTACGTTGGCCCATATGTGAAAGATATTTGCCTACAGAGAACTCAATTTAGCCCCGAAGTGAGTGTCACTACGTTAGATTGTTTGAGGCCGGCTGCGTCTAAACCTGGAGGCTGGCTGGGACTGTCCAGTAAACGGGTGGCGTGTGCTTTACCACATATCGTCGTCATTGATTTGATAGATGGTGGAATAGTGGCTCGGTATCCGTGTCCCAACATTCATGCCGTGGACTGCATGGCTTACGATGAGTTCACGACTGAGATTTTAATAGCGGGTGGAGGCCGTCTGGTCGCACTTTCTTCCGGCGTTGAGTTGCGCTGACATCAGTTGTATTTTCGTTGGCATTTTTCATGTTGAAACATTGGATAGTGTTGCTGGTTGCGGCTGGCAGTCAAGTCCTGTTTGATGAGTTATACCGAGAGGCGAACAAGACAAGTGAGTGGCAGGTTTCGTTACGGCGTGAGCTTCACAGACACCCGGAAGTCGGATTGGCTACTCACTGGACAAGCGAGCGCATTGCGAAAGAGCTGAAAGGGTTTGGCATTGCTTACACGGCCGGTTGGGCAAAGGACGGCGACGAGGGAGGTGCGGGGATAGTCGCGCATATCGGCAGTGGCCGTGAGCCGGTGGTGCTGGTTCGGGCGGACATGGACGGACTGCCGATATCTGAGGCAACGGGTTTGCCGTTTGCAAGCGAGGTACCGGGCCGCATGCATGCGTGCGGTCACGATGTTCATACTTCCGTGCTTTTGGGGGCGGCGCGTCTGCTCAAGAGGCGAGAGGCGGGTTTGAAGGGGACTGTTCGCCTCATGTTTCAGCCGGGCGAGGAGCTTGGGCTGGGCGCGACCCTAATGGTCCAGGAAGGAGTCCTCGGGAAGGAACCGGGGAGCGCAAGCGCCAAGACAGCAAGCGCCAAGGTAGCAAGCGCCAAGGTAGCAAGCGCGTTTTCGATGCACGTGATGCCGATGGTTCCTACTGGAGGGTTTGTGGCTACAGCAGGACTTCAGTTGGCCGGTGGGAACCATTTTACTATTGTCTTGTCGGGCGTGGGAGGGCACGCTGGTGCGCCTGCTGTGGCCCGTGACCCTGTAGTTGCGGCAGCTGCGTTGATTTCTGGGGCACAAGCGCTTTCGTCCCGTGAGACGTTCGGCTGGGGACCTGAGCGCCACGGCCTTATCTCGTTTACGCAGATCTCGACTTTCGGGGGAGCGACAAACGCCATCCCGGACGGAGTGTCCTTGAAGGGAACCGTTCGGAGTGGTGACCCAGCGGTTATGATGCTCATGAAGGCGCGCCTGCAAGAAATGGCGGCCTCGCTCGATGCCGGCTATCACATATCGAGCACGGTCGAGTGGATGGGAGACATCCCCAGGCTGTACAATGACCCCGACCTCAGTCTTCGGCACTCCGACCTGGTTCGTTACGCGAACCAGGGGGTTTCTTTACCCAAGTTCCACTTCTTGTACGCCATGGAAGATTTTGCTTTCGTTAGCGACTTGGTACCCAGTGTCACCGTCGCCTTGGGTATCGGATCTGGTGCTCAGTTGCCCTCACACATTACTACCAACACTAGTCTTCATAACCCGAAATTTGCTGCAGATGAGCGAGTCATGCCAAAAGCCTCAGCACTTTTTGCCAGCCTGGCCATATCCGAATTGGAATATAGAAACACTGAGACCAGAGGCAAAACTCAAGAACTATAGTTTTATCAGATATTTGTATTCATCAAATATATGAAGCTTCCCCGGTTCCTTGTGCTTTCGATCTCAGCAGCATCTGTCTATGAGTATACATTCATCCCTTACATCAGTTTGGGTGATGTACCTGACTGTAGTGAAGACATATTGGACCAATTCAAAAGACAATTGGGACTTAGTCCGGAGTACCCGCAGCAACGCCTGTTCAACCAATTGAAAACGATCGGGTTCCAGAAGCTGCTGGCATTGAGCTCACCTAAAGCGAAAGCCAAGACGCACCGTCGACAATTACTTGGTTCACCGGTAGAAATGCTCTACACACTGGAAGACAAACAAGACGAAAACAATACCAATGAATACATAGATCGACAAGCCGGTGACCGGGGGGGAAATGCAACAAACACATATCTAGACAATGTAGAGGCAGCCTGGTGGTGGTTTGGGGCAGGTGACAACGCCGTTACGCCCAAGACCGAGCTTCCTTCTGGAGCTTCATTAGACGGAGTGAAGGGATCCATCAGTGACCTAATTACTTCATTGGCTCACGGCGCGATAATGGAGCTAGCCAAAGAACTAGTAGGGAAAGGTGCTTCTGAAATCCAGATCGGTAAGCTCCATACTGATGGTCTCCGGATAGACGATTTACAAACCGATCCACTCCAATCAGCTCTTCGAGGCCCGCAACAATATCGAAGACAGCTGCAAGCCTCATTCCTTGACGGAATGCTCGGCAAGTCCATTGGGTGGATAAGTGCAAACGCGCAGAGCGGCGATAAAATACCAACGGGTGCGGATATGCTGAAGTTTGCAGTGGATGATCTGCACTTAACTAGATTTCTTAACAGCATGTTTGTTGCGGCCCTTGCTGAGCAGATTGTTGACAAGGTAACCCTCAGTCTCGGCTCGAACATAACCGTTTCCATGCAATCGCCAATGATCAATGTCGGAGAAGCGCTGTGCAATAGCTGCAATACCGCTGCATCACTTGACCCTCAAAACGCTCGAAATGATGCCTGTGTGGTGGAAACCGTATTACGATCCGTTTTGGCCTGTGGAAATCCCGACCGAGCGAAGACACCGGACTGTGAAGAAATCAAGGCGAATTACCGACGTAAAGTTGATGATGGTTGTGACGCTTTTGATCAAGATCCGGATGCTGGATTTATTCTGAACTTGGATATCAGCAATACCACCTACGACTCTACCCAGGGCAACATCGATAGGTGGCTACTGACGGCTGGAGACTATGTGTACCAATATGCGCGGAGGGATAGTATGTGTAGTTTGGACGCAAGCACAGTTGAGTTTTTACCTGGGTGGTCTACCATCGGAATTACCAAGATGGACCAGGGTTCAGTGGAATCGGAGCCGTCAACGGTCCCTATTCCAGTTGCTGTGTTGCTCCAACACCCGTTGAAGCGGTGCGAGTTTGCGGTTATTGTTAGAGGAACCCAAACCAAAGTTGACTGGATGGCCGATTTTCAAACCGCTCAAATTCCTCTAGAAGTGCAGGGTACACTGCTGGGAAGAGCGCATGCCGGGTTCACAAATTTGGCGGCCCCCACAGCAGCTTTCTTCGCAAATATCATGAATGACAAATGTCCTGGCGCAGATACCCGAGTAACTCTTTCTGGGCATTCCATGGGAGGTAGTGTTGCGCTGATTTCCGCATTACTGCTCACTGAGTGGATGCCTCAGGCTTCAATCGCAGTGGTGGGTTTCGCATGTCCTAACGCTTTAGACGAATACGCAGCGGAATTACTGAAGAAAAGGGTTATTGTTCGGACATGGATCAATGCATTTGATGCGGTACCGAAGATACCTTGTGCCGGAGGAGTCGGAATGTTTCGATGCCCAGCAGCCACGGGATCCAGCTTCCAGCAGGACAATCTTTGGTACCTAGGTGTTAGCGGATCCTCTCATCACGGATCCTCTCATCACGGATCCTCCCATCACGGATCCTCTCATCATGGATCCTCTCATCACATGATCAGCGAACCTATTCACGATGTCTATGCCAAGACCCCCAATGAGATCATGATAACGGTGGAAGATATGGGGCTGTATATGCCTAAAATGACGTCGGGTCTGTTCGGAGATATTACGTATAATCTAGCTTCTGGTAAAGCGAACTTCGACAACCTACAAGTCCCTGCTCCACTATTATTATCTCAGACCCATAGTGATGTGTACAGATGCTGGCTTAATGGCAACTATTGTAAACGTGCGATAAGATGTTAATGTTTTACCACACTATAAACCACAACCCAATATCACCTAGCTAGATCAATCCCATTGACCTCATTTCACAATAATACATGTATACTATGGGGGTGGTCATTAATGATTAATAATGGCGACCAAGCCTTGCTCATCTACACACGTTTTTGATTTGTGCGTGGTTGGTTGAAATTCATAGCTTAAATGGGGAATTGCATAAGTGAAATGGGGAATTGCATAAGTGAAATGGGGAATTGCATAAGTGGTAACCGCATAAGTGATAACCATACAGCATGATTTAATGACCGGGTCCGCAATGGGTCCGTCACATGTATTTTGAATTTGATGGCATCTACGAATCACTTGATTAATCACGAGTTTGTTCGCATATTTCCTGGGCAGGCCTAGTAAGACAGCCTGGTCACTTAACGCTTCAAAAATAAGGTAATTATACGCAGGTGAACAGCCATATGATGCCGTAAATTTAGAGAAGTCCTTCTCTGGAATTTCTGTCACAAGACCTGTCGCTTGTGAAAGCCACTGGTAAACTTGGGTATACGCCTCAGTAGAGCGGGCGGAAGACGCGGCGGTAATCGCTGTCGACCCCTTGCCCACTTCAGTGGGCGTATTTGGCATAATTCTGACCACCTTATCCTCCGGATAGCCACATGCCATCATATCTTCAAGTGACAGGCTCCCGCATAAACTCACTATGGTGTGAGGTCGCCTCGAAAAATGTTCCGCCGATTGCGCACAGATCTCACGTGCCAAGGCACTCGGCACAGCGAGAAACACAATGTCGCAGTTGTCCAGAACGACCTGGTTATCTCGAGTACAATGAATGTTCGGGCGCTGTGTCCAAGAATGCTGTGTAAAGTTGCAGGTGGGAGAGGACACGTAGCATGTTGGGATCACTTGGCTCAGCATGGTGAACAGAGCTGACCCCATCTCTCCACAACCAATCAACCCAACGGTAACCATTTTAAAATGTTGAAGCTGATAGTGACCCTGTCGTTGATTGCGACAGCTCAACACACTACCAACGTCCTATACTCAACAGATGGGAAAAGTGAGACGACACTAAAGTTGCCTTAAACCCGCCCGCGTTTCACTTGTTCGTTTACCCCCATGTTCGTTTACCCCCATGTTCGTTTACCCCCATGTTCGTTTACCCCCATGTTCATTAAGTCAACCTCATTCTGCAGCTTGGGATAAATACAGCTCCTTCACGCTGACAGAGGAACGCGGCCTACAGTTGAAGAATGGCCGTGTTGTAGGATCAATCATGAGCTCGGCCACCAATGTATGTGACTCTATGTGGAATAATGTCAAAGATAGCGATAAACTCTTGTTTAAAACAGTAATGGAAGATACCCAGGAACCTGCCTCCTCGGATGCCCAGGTCAATTCAGGAAATAGATCCGCGCTTGGCATCTCGTTTTCGCCCTTGAGTCATGTGAACAACTATAGAAAATTCTGCGGACATCTTGCCAATTCTGAATTCATTGCTGAATTCGACCAAGGCCGTTTAAAGCGGGTGATGATCAAGCCACCCTCAATTGATGAGGTCACAGGACTCGTACCTAACCCGTCATCTCGGTTGGGAATCATCAAAATACTTCCCTCCCCAGATATCGTACCGATCTATCAGCTGCACGCACCTCTCCTTGTAGAAGAAGCGAGAAGTCCAACCACAGACACACCACCGAAAAAAGGAAATTGGTGGTTTGGTCTTATGGTGGCAATGATTGTTATGCAAATAATGAAAGCACTCCAACAGCCGGATCAAGCGACAGCATCACCAAATGCACGACCCCAAAATGGAGCGCCCCAAAACAGAAGACCGGAGTAACTGAGGAATGAGCTGCTGAGGTTTCTAACGGACGCTGCCAGAGACAAAAAATGGTTACCCAGGGCCCCTGCCCCCCTTCAACACGGTTTTGCAACCAAACGGTTTTGCAACCATACGGTTATGCAACCATACGGTTATGCAACCATACGGTTATGCAACCATACGGTTGTGCAACCATACGGTTGTGCAACCATACGGTTGTGCAACCATCTTTGGGCTTTAAGATGTCTTAACCAATGCCTTCTCGATGGACGGAAGAGGAGTCCATTCGCACTTGATACCTGAGGCTTGCAATAACTTTTTGCCGGCGCATGAGGCTCTGCGTTCAGCGTCACTTACTGTCATGCCCTTAACAGCCGTTACGGACCACATCTTCCGGATAGTTGCATTCGCGGTTTCAATAGGGGATTTAGGCGAATATTGCTTATCTGCAAACGCGAACATGCTCCTGGCTTTTTGCCAATTCATGTCCTCTATAACTCGAATTTGGAGGGCCTTATGCATCATGATGGTACCAGTCATCTCTTTTGCGACGATGTCAGCAACTCGGGCGTCTTCAAATTCTATAAATGCTCCATTTCGGTTACCCCCGGTCTTTTTATTCTTCCACATGGCAGCGCGGGTCACGTGGCCAAACTGACTCGCCCACTTCTTCAAGTCTGAATTTTCCAAGTACTTGGGAACATTATATAGCGAGATTACGCCGCATGTATATGGCCGAGTTTGTTTGCCACGTGGCACAATAGTTGAGAGCACGGTGCCTTCCCTCTCCGGAGCCGCTGGTAATGGAACTGTCTTTTCTTCCTTCTTGCTACGTACGGTCTTAGACTTGGTCGTCGAACTTTTCTTCGACATCTTGAGGCTTTAGGTAATATTAAAAATCGGCCCTAAGTGCGGAGCCGGCCACCCGGTATATCACACCCAAAGAAATGTGCGACAGTACTGATTGTATCGTCTAAGAGTATGCGCTTATGTATTATCACTCGCGATGGCGCCGTGCGAAATGGTCCTACCGAAATGATTACGTGACTTTTTCAAGGAGCAATAATGTTTTGGTACCTGCAGGTAGGCCAATTTGCCACAAGACATAGTCTACCTGTAGTTGTGTTCTTTTGCTTATAATGTAGAACACGGTATTGTGCCTGCTGCTATACCGCAACTAAGGGCATTGTTTAATACCTCCGCGTTCCAAGAGGCCGCTGTTCAGTGCATATGTGTCCTTGGGACCCAAGTAGGAGTTGCGATTATGGCGATTAGGCGGGTATCATTCTCAAAATACACACTGATATTAGCCATCACAGGAATTACTGTTATTGACATAGGAACTGGATATTTGTTGCGGTATAGTCAAAAGCTAGCTGGGCATCAGCCTGGCGGAGGGCATCTGCCTGGCGGAGGGCATCAGCCTGAAGGATTCGTGGGTTCTCTCGAACAGAAGCTGGGACCTTTCTTACCCGACATATTCCATCATAATGATGGGTTACCTCATACTGGAATAAAACTGGGTTCTTTGAGTACCACCTTACCATACTGGCTGTATGGATTACGCTTTTTAGCAGGACTTATCGCAGCCTACCCGATTCATTGTATTCCTCGATGGATCAATCAGTCGTCCGCTCACTCACAGGCGGCAGCCCAACAGGCGAAAGTGCAGCTAGCTGGAGTCATGGGAACAGTCGCTGGTTATGTATTGGTATTGGTCCCTCCATTGTTAAGCTTTCCGCCATTTCGGGGGCATAATTTCACGGTGAGTTTCAAGCTGGCCGGAATAATATGCAGCATCGTAGCCCTGATCGGGCTTGTGGCCGTTAGACAGGCTGAATTCCCCGGTAGTACTGCGGAGTTTAATGAGCAGATAACATTAGACATCCAGGAGGAAGACCATCTTATGGAAGGCTCTTTTGCTGGCAGCATACTGATGGCTGGTAGTGCGCTGGTGCATCCCCTATACGGCCGGCACGGAGAGAGGCCGGAGGCCGTGATGGATCATTGGTATGATTCTTTGCTTACTTCAACCCCCATGTACAGCAAGATCACCACTCCCTACACCCAGGATGAGCCCAGTTTTCTGCCGCTGGTACCAAGTACGGAGACAGGCATTGGTCAGCAGCTGAAGGCGGCTGCAGGCAATTTGCCATTCGTTTGCGTCAACTTCGCAGTATGGGTTAATACTAGTGTGTCTCAGGCTTTAGCCTTCTGGATTTTCACCGTGTACACCACTCGACTCAACATATCCAAGCCGCTAGCTCTTACGGGTATTACATCTGTATTCGGTGTGGGCACAATTCTCGGGCTCAGTCTTGCTAGTCTCTTGAAGTTCAAGGACGTAGAAACCATTCGGCGGGATCGAGTGGATCCCATTAGGTTCCGGTGGATCGCTTTGCTCTCCGGCTTAACATGCACTGCCGGATCAGTCTGTGCCGTAACGATGGGAGTCAATAGAGGATTCGTACTCTCTACCCTCACCATGACTTTATCCGTGCTTTTTGGTTCTGCGGTAATCCCCATAGCCCAGGCCACTATTGCCTCCTGTCTGCCGAGTAAGCCCGTTAACACAAATATATCACTGATTATCTCTTAGGCTATCTTGAAGACACGGCTTACGGCGTCTACCAAACCGTATTCCAATCATCGTGGTTCTTTGGTCCTTTACTTCCTGTGGTAATTGCATGGCTTTGCGGGGGTCAAGCGGAGGTTGAAGGATTTCGCGGGGTAATGTTGCTGCCGGTTTTAGCCTTCGTTGCATGTTTGGTATCTTACAGACATGTGGCTGCTCGGGCTACTCTGAAGCGCAATGTAAAAAAAGAGTTTCAGAGTGAAGGTGTCGACGACGAAACGCTGGAACTCTCTTCGCATCTGAACAAAACCTCTTTATCATCTGACACCCACGCTAGGCTCTTGGCGAATCAGATCGAAGAAGCGCAAACAGCCACACAACTGAGCTTGGTCCAACCTTGAGCTTGAGATTGGTCCAACCTTGAGCTTGAGATTGGTCCAACATTGAGGTTGGTCCAACATTGAGATTGGTCCAACATTGAGGTTGGTCCAACATTGAGTGTGTAATCAAATCAGTACGTGGGTTCTTCGTGTTCGCTAGTAAGCCCATTTGTGAATTATCCCGTAATATGTTGGGGTAATATGTTAGGGATTCAAGGCAAGTTGAGCGAGGGCATCCGCCAGATTAGGATCATCCAGGCCGTCTTTGACGTTGGCTTTAGTATAGCGAAAGCGTTGTGGGCCGAGCATATCGATGAACGTCTGAAGGTGTAGAGTTCTGACGAGAACGTTTTCAGTATCTTTGCTTTGCGCTGGATTTTCCTGGTCGTTAAATGCACCAAATGTGTTCAGTACTACAAGGAATTTGATTTGCATGGCTAGTGGGTGACAAACGAGTCTGTATAGACGTTGCCTTTCCTTGAGTAATTGATTGGATGATGTTTCCAACATTGATACCACATATATAATAGCATATACATGGATCTGATTTAGTGCATCTACCATAGCATCAGTAATAAGATGATCACCTCCAACCTATACAGAAATAATTAATAACTACAATGTGATCTTACATCCCACAATAGAACATCTTTAGAATATATATTGTATGGCTCTACATGTAATGTATTGGTCGGTTTAGTAACACTAACAAGATCACTAATGTCAGCATAAGGATAAATAATCCGTAGAAACAGTATAGTTTTACCAGCGGTCTCAGAACCAAGAATAAATATAGATGGAGGTCTGCTTAGTACATTGGTATAATCTGGATTACAAAGTGGATCGATTTGTAAGCCATTTTCAGTCTCATTTGTTTGATCTATTATTCGTATATGACCGCAGCATACTCCTCCCATAAATTTTAGCTAGACCAGGCGGCCCGGGGGGTTGTTAAGTTCGATTAAATTCGGCTTTATTGTTAAATTCGATTAAGTTCTATTAGGTGTGTGTATGACCAGACACGATTCTGTTTGACACGATTCTGTTTATTACATGTATTAAAAAAAAACAGAAAAGATGCTCATTTAAACAGTAGAGTAAATTATGTCTTTCACATGTTTGACAGAGTATATGTTACACCATTGATAAGGTGTGAGATTGTCCAACTGAATTTCTGATGTTTCAGTATTTTCAGTGAATGCCAATAGGGCTATCCATTTACCATGAGTAAGAGCTCTGACTAGATCTTGCTTAAATTGAGCGAATTTATATGATTCTAGGAACTTTATCTGCTTTTCCCTTCGGCTAAAATCATTTCTCAAAGTCAGGATCTCATTACTCATTCTTTCGTACACCGTGTATAACTCCTTAGGTTTTTCTCGCAGCTGGCTAATCACTGCTTGCGTGCACTGAGTAAATGATTCTTCGCTCAGCCCCGCAGGTTTGATGCTGAATGAGGTATTTCCATTGCACTCCAAACATTTCTCTTGGATGAAGTTGAGCATACGAGACAGAACATATTCAGTTGAGCGTGTACTTTGAGCAAGCAAGCAACGCATAAGGCGCCGTCCAACTTCCCTGTTAGGCATTCCAACGACGTAGCCCAACGTCTGCTTTGTTCTTAAATCATCGAAGAACAGGTCGGATAACCAAATTGACATTACGTTGTTGAAAGCGTATGTTTGATATTCACTATCAAAGGCTTGAATAGTTAGAACTACTGCACCATTGGGGTTGGCACTATTCAACGTAGGCGTTTTAATCACAATAACATCGATCGCAGAATTCGAATCGTCAGCACCTTTTGTGGCGCCTTTCGAATCATCAATCTCACGATGTACCATGGTACCCCTCTGTAGTTGCTTCATAGTATCTTCCTTTCGCAATTTATCAAAATCAATTTCATCATATAACAATCTTTCCTTACCATTAAGATCATATTTGCCGGGATTCTGTATCAACTTGGACCACGCGTTAGGATTAGCATAACACTTCCTAACTTCATCATCAGTAACATTGCCAACGATAGCCCCTAGTACAGTTGCACCATCAAACAGCTCAGGATTCAACTTTTTACCCTTTCTGAGATACTTCAGGGCAACATCAACTGTAATTACTGATAACGATTCCAGCATATCTCTATCATCCCATGTTATGTAACTCATTGAATCACTTGCCTTGGTTAGTACATGCACGTAAGGATCAGTTGCCTTAGTCTTATTGGTGAAACTGCGTACTAATTCCGCCAGGACGGTCTTTAAATGTGTTTCATTTGCATTAAATTCTGTGAAACTATTTATGAACGTCTCCATAACTTTTTCACCCTTATCATCAAATCCACCAACTTCAAATTGCAGGCCACTACTACCTTGTCCAGTACCGCTAATGATAGCTGTATTGTATATAACACCAGCAAGTCTGGCATCATATAGTTTGTCGTTCACTGATTCCATAACAGCCTTTTGATAAACAAGGTATAATGCCACACGTGCTGGCCAAATGAGATCTCTGAAATTGTCTTTCTTCTCCCACTCCTGCTTCACCTTCGCCCTTGTTACATCATTTTCTTTCATCCAAAGGAGATCCGCGAGGGTTGGTTTGAACAAGGGTAAATGTATTCTACCACTAAATAGGAATTGTGGTAGTCTGAATGAAGTTTCTTGTTTGAACCATATCTGTATAGGATCATTAGCTGAAAAGGCACTGCCACCGGTAGGATTGATATATACAGGGAGAGCGGCAATGTCGGTGGTGGGTGCTTTTAGTTCAAATGATTCCGGGACAAACTTGTTCTTCTCAACTTGTTTAATGCCTTCATTTTTCAACCATATATCTACATCATCATCTTTTGTGGACTTGGCTATCCCATTCCATTCACGAGACCATTCTTCAGGCAGGGCTTCTACATGATATTTTGTTTTATAAATTCTCTCCTCCTCATTGCATCGAACACCAAATTTCATACCGGTTCGCCATACTATCGCGTCTTTTGCTTGGTCAAGAAGCAAGTCAATATGATTGTTAATTAAGCCGGGATTTACTTCAGTATTAATATAAGCTGCCTCCAGTACTTCTTTTGGTTCACATGCCAACAAATTTGACACACCTTCTTTCACCAGCTCATGGACATCAAACATAGGACGATATTTCCACCTTATATAATTGACCTTTTGTTCGTCCTTGATCAATTCTGTAAAGCCAATAGGATTACGACTAGCTTCATATTTTAGTCTTCTAAGCACTCCAAAGATTAATTTGCCAATGTAAATAATATTCTCGTCGCTAAACACTTCATCCGATGCCATATCCAAAGATACCTCAAATACAGACTGACCAGTATTCTCTGTTAGACATCCTGCAAACAAGGCTGTACAAATATGTTTAGACTTCAGTATATCAAGAATGCTACCCTCACCCTCATGACCTAAAATATGAGATATGAAACTGGCAGGCTTTGACTTGTAATGGTCTCTTTGATCTGGCATGGCAAAGATAAACTCCAGTTTCCGGTCGCCTTCTTTAACGGGGAGAACATCGACCAAACGATTTACATATTCTTTGCTAAAGATCAAGTGCGGCTTGCCGACAGCGCTTCCTCTTATTATTGGGTAATCGTGATTCGGTATTCGACTCATATACTTCTCAGCCATCTCTTTCAGTATTTGAAGAGGCTCCCTCCCCAAGATCACAGCAGCCATGTTATTTGCTGAGTAATGCTCGCTATGAAATTGGACTAAAGATTGTCTTAATGCGGATAATGCCTTGGCATTGTCGTTCTTATAGAACTCTAACCTACGTAAGGTACGGTTATTCCCCGTGCTAAACTTCGTAAACGGGTGCTCTTGATTGCATAAATGCTTAAGCAACTGATATTTCCGACGCGTATCATTCTGCAAGTCTTTTTCATGCTCTGAATTCACCGCCTCTACTTCTCGGTCCACAGCATCTTGGTTAAACGCAGGTGATACAAAAAACTCGGACGTCCTGTCTACCAAACCATCTAACGCGTCTGGTTTCACTGTGGCATAGTACACCGTCGATGTGTCCGTAGTAAATGCATTCGTCATCCCACCGTTCTTCTGCACATACTCCTGATACTCTTGCTCGTCCGGATATTTTGCTGTACCCATGAACAGCATGTGTTCACAAAAGTGGGCCAAACCCTCCAACTCCCGTGGATCACTCATCTGACCCACACCTACACCGATGGCACACGCCGCCTTGTCCACACGATCCGCGCTTGACACCAACAATACTCTCAGACCATTGCTCAAGGTTGCCACACCGTAATCATAGTCATCAAACGCTATAGGACTCTTGATTGACTCCTTGCCCAACATAGCCATAATTTTTTTTCAAAACAAATTGTCCAGAATTATTTCGGGTGGCGGTATTTTAACCAAGTTCCGTGAACAGACCAGCTCGTGGCTCAAATGTTTTGAAAATAACCAAACGCCAGAAGTCGTGGTGGTTTACGACCAATGCCGATCACCACGACTAATGCTGACTGAGAAGCCACGCTGGGACTGGGGCTTACTTCCCTCCGACGCCGTCGCCCACGACGCCGTCGCCCACGACGCCGAAGAGACCAAGGCTGGCCTTACCCCGTTCGTTCCTTCGCGCATAGCTCATGATTACAGTGCGGATCATTCCAGCGATGAGTCGATCATTCCAGCGATGAGTCTGTCATGGCATCGCTCCCGAGTCTGTCATGGCATCGCTCCCTTCCCACCCCACAAAATAACTTGTGTGCGAACTAACTAACTAACTTGCTGACGCCATTATTCCAGTGATGCAATGCTGACGCCATTATTCCAGTGATGCAATGCTGACGCCATTATTCCAGTGATGCAATGTGTCGAAGGTTTGACAACTGTTTGCTTAAAGAGCCGTTGTCTTTCTCCAGTTGCTGAACCATTCGCATCAGGCGCTTCACGGTCCTCTCATGGGCTTCTGACATCTTTCCATGCGCGGATGCAAGGCACTTGTACTCATTCTCGTTAGCAACAGCTGCTGATACCTGGTTCTCAAGATCCTTCAACTGCTCACGAAGAGCTCCTATTAGCTCGTCTCGAGTTGTCTGTTCTTGTACGAGCTTCTCCACCTTCGACGTTGATTCCTTCAACCGCTCACGAAGATCTCCTATTAGCTCGTCTCGAGTTGTCAGTTCTTGTACGAGCTTCTCTACCTTCGACATTGATTCCTTCAACCGCTCCCGGAGAGCTCCTATTAGCTCGTCTCGAGTTGTCAGTTCTTGTACGAGCTTCTCTACCTTCGACATTGATTCCTTCAACCGCTCCCGGAGAGCTCCTATTAGCTCGTCTCGAGTTGTCTGTTCTTGTACGAGCTTCTCCACCTTCGACATTGATTCCTTCAACTGCTCAC